CTGTTACTGTGTCAGGCAGCGTTCACTGTTACTGTGTCAGGCAGCGTTCACTGTTAGTGTGTGAGGCAGCGTTCACTGTTAGTGTGTGAGGCAGCGTTCACTGTTACCATGTCAGGCAGCGTTCACTGTTAGTGTGTGAGGCAGCGTTCACTGTTAGTGTGTGAGGCAGCGTTCACTGACAGTGAAGTAACCTCAGCATGTAACAAGGACACGCTAGGAAACGCCTTAGCTTTGAGACCTCAAAGTTTCAAGCCCGTTTCTTGGGCCTAGTTTTGAGACCTCATAGTTTCAGACCTCGTATGCTAGCCCTAAGTTTGAGACCTTACAGTTTCAGACCTCGTATGCTAGCCCTAAGTTTGAGACCTTACAGTTTCAGACCTCGTATGCTAGCCCGGGGTCTGAAACCTTGAGGTCACTGTACAACCTGTTCTCCTGACAGAGCGTCGCATTTTGACGTATACTCTATCTTATAAGTCCAAAATATCGTCGTACTAGAAAATGGAAGTGACTCGCGAAACTGACGTATTGTTCCGTTTTCTGTTTTGGGTCCTCTGGTTGGTTAAGGATAAGAGGGGGCACTTTAGTACGACAGTTTCTTGACGTTGGGGAACCTTAGGAGAACGGGCTGCTGTAACACCACCCTGGCCTATCTAACCTAACCTAACCTAACCTAACCTAACCTAATTTAACCTAACCTAACCTGCCAGAGGACCCAAAACATAAAATGAGACAATACGTCACTTTCGCGAGTCACTTCCATTTTCTAGTACGACGATTTTGGGCCGTATGTAATGCGTGCCAGCGAAATTCACCGTTCTTGGTAGGAGGACAGGTTGGCGCAGACAGTATTTAGAACAATTGCTGTCAGAAAAGCAGTATCTCTCGTCACCGTAGAGAGCACACACGCTTCCGCCAGTCGGTTAAGCTTCGACTCTTTCCACTCTTAAAGCTAAAGATATCTCGGCTCTTTCTTGTCGTTGATAACTACCGCTGGGAGAGTCAAGTGTCCACGACTGTTATCTTGAACAAGAAACTGCCGCCGCTGCCAAAAATTAGTCGTTCGATCCTATGTACAGGTCATTTAGGACGATGACTTTGGGGTTGAAAACAGCTCCGTGGAACAAGCTTGTCTCTGGAACAAGCTTGTCTCTGGAACAAGCTTGTCCCTGGAACAAGCTTGTCTCTGCAACAAGCTTGTCTCTGGAACAAGCTTGTCTCTGGAACAAGCTTGTCTCTGGAACAAGCCTGTCCCTGGAACAAGCTTGTCTCTGGAACAAGGTTGTCTCTGGAACAAGCTCGTCTCTGGAACAAGCTTCTCTCTGGAACAAGCTAGTCTCAGGAACAAGCCTGTCTCCGGAACAAGCTTGTCCCTGAAACAAGCCTGTCCCTGGAACAAGCTTGTCTCTGGAACAAGCTTGTCTCTGGAACAAGCTTGTCTCTGGAACAAGTTTGTCTCTGGAACAAGCTTGTCTCTGGAACAAGCTTGTCTCTGGAACAAGCTTGTCTCTGGAACAAGCTTGTCTCTGGAACAAGCTTGTCTCTGGAACAAGCTTGTCTCTGGAACAAGCTTGTCTCTGGAACAAGCCTGTCCCTGGAACAAGCTTGTCTCTGGAACAAGCTTGTCTCCGGAACAAGCTTGTCTCTGGAACAAGCTTGTCCCATTCTCTTCCATCAGACAACAGAGTCCCGGTCCTCGGTCTCTGTAAATCAGGTACGTGGAACGCTACATAAAGTGACATGACAGGTATAACCTCTCATTGGTTTTAAACAGGTCCCTATGACAAGAGGAGTTTGACGTTGACAAATCGCTAAATATGAGTTATAGTGTTTGCCAGGAGAGCATAAGATATGTCAGTGATCACTGCTTTAATTCTCTCACTGATTTTCTGGTATAATTTCCACGAGAGAAGAGTGTCATCTTCAGATGAGGTGCCAATCATAGAGAGAAGAGTGTCCTCTTCAGATGAGGTGTCAATCATACCTGTCAGGGAGGACTGAGTGGGCTTCGGAGAGACGTGTACCCACTGGGTAATATTGAGCCACACTTGACTGTTGACCAATCTTCTTATCCACTTGGAATGATCGGTATATAGATAGCGACGGTCTTGGTTCTTGCTGCAGGGTCGGGGTTCGATCCCCCGACCGTCCATAGTGGTTGGGCACCATTCCTTTCCCTCCGTCTCATGCTATCCCAAGTCCTTATCCTCGTATCCTTTCCCAGTGTTCGAGAGTCTTAGTGTTTTCGTCCTGATAATTATCATACCTGGCATTAAATTATCGTATGCAAGGTTATGTATGACTCTCCAGGCTGTTGTGGTTGTTACTGCGGTTGTTGCAGGTGTGGCGGTGGTTGTGGTTGCTTTGGTGGTTGCAACCACAACCACCAAAGTTGTGGTTGTTGTGGTTAAATTTGTTCTCTTACTCGCTTCGTTCTCACTCACTTTATTCGATCTCATTCACCTCAGTGCATTTATTAACTCAATTCTCTGGACATATTCACTCACATCCTTAACTCACTCACTCACTCACTCACTCACTCACTCACTCACTCACTCACTCACTCACTCACTCACTCACTCACTCACTCACTCACTCACTCCGGACTCGGAACACAAGCGAAGAAAACCAGAAGCCTCGTTGAGGGCAATTTCAGAGAGTAACTTTCGTACCTAATTGGCAGCAAAGTATCAATTAGACATTTGCATAATGACAAGTTCAGCATATCTGAAGATAGGGGGGGGGGGGAACAAGCCCCATCCCCCCTTTCCCCCCATCCCCCCCCTCCCTGCTGCAGTTACATCATGCCAAACTACTTCATCTCAAACGCAAACACTCAGAATTACATTTCACCTTTGTAAATGCACATTAATGACACTATGTAAAAAGACACATCGAACACTTTGTGTAGGGCATACGTAAATCTGTGTATCTATGTATTTACGTATGTAGGTTAACTTAGCATTTTAAAAGCACCGAATCACCTTCAGTGGGTTGATTGTTCAATAAACCTCTGAACTATATGTTTAACACTTCTCTAACCCTGTCCATGGAGGACAGAAGAAAATGTATATATGCTGGTTAGCATTGTAAATGTCTGGCCACGTCTGTGGTAGAAAATAATAATAATAATAATAATAATAATAATAATAAAAAATTGAAACCTCGCTGGACAAAATATATGAGATATCGTAAGATTTTCCTGCGATAAAGAATTGACATGTGTTTTTTTTTCTTGTTTTGACTGAGGGCGAACACATGTCAATCCTATACAGGTGATAAGTTTCTATAAGAGTTACTGAAAGATTGTACAGTTATCTGGGCAGTTTTATATGTGATTGTTCTTGACGTCAGCCTTTGTTCTGGAACATATATCACCCTTGATATACAAGCAAATGTATATGTATAATTTGTCTTTTTCCACCAGGAGGAAGGGAGTGTGAGGGAAATTGTCAGGGGGAAAGCGCCAAGCCATCACGATAATATAGCACTTGGAACGGGGGTCAGGATAAGGATCTGAGATGGGACGGATGGAAAGGAATAGAGAGAGAAGAGGAACATATGGGACCGGCATACATACCTGTTCCACAACCGATACACCTGTAATTGGAGCCGAGCACCTGTGGGAACACCACACATGCGCCAGAATCTGTACACCAGTTTACATGTAAACTTGTCCCTGTACAATATATACACCTGTGCCCACGTGACTCACCGTTTCAACAACTGGAATAATACAACCTGCAGGGTAGGGCTGGTACCGCTGTACCAAGGTCACTGGTGACTGCAGGGTAGGGCTGGTACCGCTGTACCAAGGTTACTGGTGACTGTAGGGGAGGGCTGGTACCGTTGTACCAAGGTTACTGATGACTGCAGGGGAGGGCTGGTACCGCTGTACCAAGGTTACTGGTGACTACAGGGGAGGGCTGGTACCGCTGTACCAAGGTCACTGACGCCAGCAGGTAGGGCTGGTACCGTTGTATCAAGGTTACTGGTGACTGTAGGGGAGGGCTGGTACCATTGTACCAAGGTTACTGATGACTGCAGGGGAGGCCTGGTACCGTTGTACCAAGGTCACTGACGCCAGCAGGTAGGGCTGGTACCTTTGTACCAAGGTCCCTGACGCCAGCAGGTAGGGCTGGTACCGTTGTATCAAGGTTACTGGTGACTGTAGGGGAGGGCTGGTACCATTGTACCAAGGTTACTGGTGACTGCAGGGGAGGCCTGGTACCATTGTACCAAGGTTACTGGTGACTGCAGGGGAGGGCTGGTACCGTTGTACCTAGGTCACTGACTCCTACAGGTAAGGCTGGTACCGTTGTACCTAGGTCACTGACTCCTACAAGTAAGGCTGGTACCGTTGTACCAAGGTACCTGACGCCAGCAGGTAAGGCTGGTACCGTTCTACCAAGGTACCTGACGCCAGCAGGTAAGGCTGGTACCGTTTTACCAAGGTACCTGACGCCAGCAGGTAGGGCTGGTACCTTTGTACCAAGGTCCCTGACACCTATATAGAGAATGCTAAACATTCCCCTACGAAGCTAAAATACAATTTCAATTTAATTCGTTGTCTTCTCAATGAACTGCGTTAAATTACCCTTACCAACCAACGTGAGCGAGCCAAACAAAGGGGGGGAAGACCGAAACGCCGTCAGCAATCCGAGCCTAACGATCAAACTGTCCAAACTGTGAACGAACGATCATGAGTGATTACTGGGAAGAGTAACTTCAAGTCAGATTACTTAACTCACCCCCAAGCCGTGCCAGGCACTTGAGAAGTCCGTTAAGAGTAATTAGATTCTCTAATCGCCCTGTTAAGCTTTAACAACATCAACGCAATTGTTTGAGGTCGGAGTCCTCAATTGCATCTGCATCTATTATCTATTAAGCATCTATTAAGAATGCATCTATTAAGAATGCATATTAAGGATGCATCTATTAAGAAAGGGCAGAACCAGGCCTGAAGTAATCTAACGGTGAGGAAACAGGAGGCTGAGGACTCTATGCAACAGGAGACTGAGGACTCTATGCAACAGGAGGCTGAGGACTCTATGCAACAGGAGACTGAGGACTCTATGCAACAGGAGGCTGAGGACTCTATGCAACAGGAGGCTGAGGACTCTATGCAACAGGACGCTGAGGACTCTATGCAACAGGAGGCTGAGGACTTTATGCAACAGGACGCTGAGGACTTTATGCAACAGGACGCTGAGGACTCTATGCAACAGGAGGCTGAGGACTCTATGCAACAGAAGGCCGAGGACTCCATACAACAGGACAAGGACAAAAGGCAACAGTTAGACCACTTCTAAGCAGCCCCAGTTTGGCAAAGTGAGAGAGATTTCAACATTTCATTTTTCTCCTCTTTTTACAAAGTCATTTTTGATGACCAGACCACACACTAGAAGGTGAAGGGACGACGACGTTTCGGTCCGTCCTGGACCATTCTCAAGTCGATTCTCAAGACAATCGACTTGAGAATGGTCCAGGACGGACCGAAACGTCGTCGTCCCTTCACCTTCTAGTGTGTGGTCTGGTCAACATACTTTAGCCACGTTATTGTGACTCATCGCCTGTAAAGTAATTTTATTGTTGATGTTAAGCTTCCATCGCCGCTCTCTCTGGAACACCACCTTACTGGCAGGAAAACTGAAAAATGTTTTCAGGAAGAGGAGGAGGAGGCAGTAGAGAATGTCCCTTTCTCAACAATTAGAAAGTGGACGAGTGTCTCTCTCTCTCTCTCTCTCTCTCTCTCTCTCTCTCTCTCTCTCTCTCTCTCTCTCTCTCTCTCTCTCTCTCTCTCTCTCTCTCTCTCTCTCTCTCTCTCTCTCTCTCTCTCACTCTCTCTCTCCCTCCCTCCCTCCCTCCAAGTGCCGTACATGTCAATAGTGTTGGTTAAAGTTTCTTGAGTGTTTACACCTCTGGGAGTGAAGACATTGACCATTACGATGGCACTCTATTTCATTTTATTTTATTTTTCCTAATTTTCCCCAAATTACGACCCGCCAAATCGTTTAACAACCAGGTATACCCATTCACTGCTAGGTGAACAGAGGCGTACAGTTAAGGATTGGCGCCCAGTCAATCCTCCCTGGCCAAATCGATGGCGAAACGCCGAGCGAGTGTCTTACCACTGAGCCACTAAGAGTGATGTTAGTATAGTATACTGATGTTACTATACACTATACTATACTATAGTGATGTTACCTCTGGGTCAAACACGTGTTCTCCGCTGTATCATTGTCCTCCTGCGACTGTTACAAATTATTGTATCATTAGTCCGAACTTTATTCATCACCTTGTATCAGCTGACTGGAAGATAAGATGTGAACCCAACAAACTACCTCTGGTCAGCTGAAACGAGAGTTATCTTGAGGTTATCTTGAGATGATTTCGGGACTTTAGTGTCCCCGCGGCCCGGTCCTCGACCAGGCCTCCACCCCCAGGAAGCAGCCCGTGACAGCTGACTAACACCCCAGGTACCTATTTTACTGCTAGGTAACAGGGGCATAGGGTGAAAGAAACTCTGCCCATTGTTTTTCTCCGGCACCTGGGATCGAACCCGGGAACACAGGATCACGAGCCCAGCATGCTGTCCGCTCAGTCGACCGGCTCCCAATGGTTACGACAAGAAGTAAACAGTTTATCCATTCCATTTACGGGATCACCATAGCCCGTGCTACATGGACATTTCGTCCTGAGTAGCTAAACCTGACAACAACAACAACAACAACAACAGTTTATCCATCTCCAGGAACAGGAGCCGGTCGGCCGAGCGGACAGCACGCTGGACTTGTGATCCTGTGGTCCTGGGTTCGATCCCAGGCACCGGCGAGAAACAATGGGCAGAGTTTCTTTCACCCTATGCCCCTGTTACCTAGCAGTAAAATAGGTACCTGGGTGTTAGTCAGCTGTCACAGGCTGCTTCCTGGGGGTGGAGGCCTGGTCGAGGACCGGGCCGCGGGGACACTAAAAAGCCCCGAAATCATCTCAAGATAACCTCAAGATAACACCTCAGCCTACACACACACCACGGAGCAGTTCCCTGCGACTCTTAGACATACGGAACACCCCCAGTAGCAGAGTTGGCTTCGTTGCTCCCCTGATGAAGTCTTGAGTGGAATACAAATTCTTCGATATATTGTTACAGCAAACTCGTCCCTGATTGATGGTCTTGTAGGACGGAGAAGTCTGATGGCGTCACTGTTATCTGATGGGCTCAGGTCGGGGGAAGTGTGAGGGTGATGGAGTGTTATCAACCTCGCTATAGTGGCATCGATAACGGCCAGGGCCTCAGTTCTCAGATGGCGGGGTCTCCACTAAGAGTCCTCAGATGGCGGGGTCTCCACTAAGAGTCCTCAGATGGCGGGGTCTCCACTAAGAGTCCTCAGATGGCGGGGTCTCCCCTAAGAGTCCTCAGATGGCGGGGTCTCCACTAAGAGTCCTCAGATGGCGGGGTCTCCACTAAGAGTCCTTAGATGGCGGGGTCTCCCTTAAGAGTCCTCAGATGGCGGGGTCTCCCCTAAGAGTCCTTAGATGGCGGGGTCTCCCCTAAGAGTCCTCAGATGGCGGGGTCTCCACTAAGAGTCCTCAGATGGCGGGGTCTCCACTAAGAGTCCTCAGATGGCGGGGTCTCCACTACGAGTCCTCAGATGGCGGGGGCTCCACTAAGAGTCCTTAGATGGCGGGGTCTCCCCTAAGAGTCCTCAGATGGTGGGGTCTCCACTAAGAGTCCTCAGATGGTGCGGGCTCCACTAAGAGTCCTCAGATGGCGGGGTCTCCACTAAGAGTCCTCAGATGGCGGGGTCTTCACCTAAGAGTCCTCAGATGGCGGGTCTTCACCTAAGAGTCCTCAGATGGCGGGTCTTCACCTAAGAGTCCTCAGATGGCGGGTCTTCACCTAAGAGTCCTCAGATGGCGGGTCTTCACCTAAGAGTCCTCAGATGGCGGGGTCTCCACTAAGAGTCCTCAGATGGCGAGAGGCTCCCCTAAGAGTCCTCAGATGGCGGGGTCTCCACTAAGAGTCCTCAGATGGCGGGGTCTCCACTAAGAGTCCTCAGATGGTGCGGGCTCTCCTAAGAGTCCTCAGATGGCGGAGTCTCCACTAAGAGTCCTCAGATGGTGGGGTCTCCACTAAGAGTCCTCAGATGGTGGGGTCTCCACTAAGAGTCCTCAGATGGTGCGGGCTCCACTAAGAATCCTCAGATGGCGGGGTCTCCACTAAGAGTCCTCAGATGGTGCGGGCTCCACTAAGAGTCCTCAGATGGCGGGGTCTCCACTAAGAGTCATCAGATGGTGCGGGCTCCCCTAAGAGTTCTCAGATGGCGGGGTCTCCACTAAGAGTCCTCAGATGGCGAGAGTCTCCCCTAAGAGTCCTCAGATGGCGGGGTCTCGACTAAGAGTCCTCAGATGGCGGGGTCTCCCCTAAGAGTCCTCAGATAACAAGGTCTCCACAAAGAGTCCACTAACATGACCTTTAAACTAGCCGTGAATGATGGCTGGACAGTTTTCCTATTGGTCAGAAATGATTCTCGCTCGTTTCTGTTGGCCGAAGGTCAAAGATCGAAGCCAAACCTAACAGTCTGTTGCACTGCAGAGCATCCTGTGCTCTGCAGCTGCCCATTGCACCGCATCATGTGATCTGGAGCTTCAACCAGATCAACATGTGAGATACAATCAACTGCCTGGAGTTTATTGTGCATTAAAATATGTCTTACGTTATCCGAAAGGCGTTTTTTAAGAACAACTAATGGTTCATTATGAGCTATAAACAAGAGAGCCGTGCAAGAAGGTAGTCCGGTAATTATGTTGTGTTGGTAATGATTTGCCGCGTTGCAACAGGTCCAGCTGCTGCTGGAGTACAAGTCCTCCCCCTCCACGTAGCAATTATGGATCAGCTCAAAGTCATCATCTGATGCCGAGGTCTTAAATGAATGGCTACACCCACAATGAATATTGAATCACAGGCTCTCCCCAGAGCTTTAATGCGAGCGATAATCGCGTTGTTGGAGCCGCAGTCGACGGGTTGAACCTCTAAGGTCAGAGGGAGAGCACAGGAAAGTAAGAGATTCTGCTGGGTGATCTTCATTGGCTTTCCGGGAATGACCATTCTGAGTGGCCCGCTTGCTTCACGGGTGGCAGTGGACACGCCTGAGTGACTTGATTCGGGTGGTAACTGAGTGACTCGGGTGGTAACTCACCACAGCATACGTCGAGTAATGATGATAGGACTTTATTACACCATGTCGTAGCTCAGTCAATTAAGGCAGCGTCTGGGATGCTCTCGGACGCAGGTTCGAATCCTCGTCACGGCCCTTGTGGATTTGCTTCTTTCGCGATGGGACTTTGTTCAATATGATCAGCAATGCATGCGAGCCTCAAACCTGCTCTGGTTAGCGCAGCACGGCGGCGGCGGCGGTGCCCTCCGCCAGTCTCTGAGCTGCACATGGCCGCCCCAGCAGCCACAGGCACCCATTAATTAACAAACAGTTAGTGACACCTTATACTGGCTCAACAAACTGGCACTGCCCTAAGCTGAGCCAGTGACGTCAGTAGAGCTGACTTGGAACTAATACCTAGCATTGTTAACGCCCTTGTGGTGGTGGTGGCCCTCGTTGGGCACGTGCCCAACACTGGTGGCTGTGTCTTGGGCACGAACCAGGTATGTAACTGTTCAACAAGCTCACACATGCGCCCCCCAGCCACCTCCTGCGACGCACAGCGGTCACAGGGCTAAGGTTAAGATGATGGAGTTACGAAGTCATCAAGAGTCTGGAAGATCCAAGGATGTGGAATCTTAGAGAGGGGGAATGTAAAACATTTCTGTCTGTTTAATGTTTATAATATTCCGTGTATATTTGTTTCAGTTCCCCTTCGGTAGACTTAATTTTATCTTTTATGTCATCAGTAATTTATGAACCCGAGATGACTCAGAAACCTAGCCAAGTATTCAGACTCCTTCCAGCATCCAGACTCCTCCCAGCATCTATACTCCCAGCACCCAGACTCCTCCCAGCATCCAGACTCCTCCCAGCATCCAGACTCCCCCCAGCATCTATACTCCCAGCATCTATACTCCCAGCACTCAGACTCCTCCCAGCATCCAGACTCCTCCCAGCATCCAGACTCCCCCCAGCATCCAGACTCCTCCCAGCATCTATACTCCCAGCACTCAGACTCCTCCCAGCATCCAGACTCCTCCCAGCATCCAGACTCCTCCCAGCATCCAGACTCCTCCCAGCATCTATACTCCCAGCACCCAGACTCCTCCCAGCATCCAGACTCCTCCCAGCATCCAGACTCCCCCCACTCTATACTCCCAGCATCTATACTCCAGACTCCCAGCATCCAGACTCCTCCCAGCATCCAGACTCCCCCCAGCACTCCTCCCAGCATCTATACTCCCAGCACCCAGACTCCTCCCAGCACCCAGACTCCTCCCAGCATCCAGACTCCTCCCAGCATCCAGACTCCTCCCAGCATCCAGACTCCACCCAGCATCCAGACTCCACCGAGAGAAACATCCGGAGACTGTCCAAAGACCATGATAACTACCAATCAACTCACTGACCAATGTGAACGTGTGCTGGAGTGTCTCACTCAACGTGGCGCCACTCGCAGCAAACTATTCTCTGTTTATCTGCCACGAATGAAGACGGAGAGTAAAGGAGCGACGCAGAAGAAGGTCTTGTTGCTGCGACCTTCAGAGGATGAAGACATCTGACTGGAGAATCCCGTCTTTGACAATAATTAACATTGTGCTTCAAGAACATGACAGTAACGTGGGTTTGTCGACAGTGACGGAGCGTATCGACGAGTCATATTGATCTTGATGTCGTTTTGGCCTTAATGTTAGAAAAGCACACTAGAAGGCGCTGGAGACTAAAATAATGTGTCGTCGTGGTTTTGGACGACTAAGTAAAGCTAGCCAGAGTCTTACTGACGGCAGTTAGGGCCTCCTTCACCAAGTCACCCACCGATAACCTCTTTGTCTCGCTGCGATATCCATGTGTTGCTATGTCTCCTTATGTGTCTCCCTGGGTGGTGCTGGAGGGAGGGAGGGAACCTTATGTGTCTCCCTTCGTGTTGAAGAAATCATCTTCACGTGTTATGATTTAACTCTTGGCTAACCATAACCTATCAACCAACATATGATAAACGTTCACTGACTTCCCTGACGTCCGATGGCCGATGTCCTCGGTGGACGATGACTGCATGACGTCCTTTGGCGTACGATAACCTAACACCTTTGGTACGGTTGTATTTCGCTATACGATAAACGTTAGCATGACAAAACTTAATATCATTACATGCAACTAACTAACTCTCAAGTTAATGAGATATATGCCGTACTGTGAACTATATTCCATTACCTGCAGTGACCCCTGGCAGTCCGCTAGTCCATCCTCTCATCTTCACCGAGATAACCCTCTGAAAGCAGGACTTTTCGCTACGACATTCTGCTGCGCACGACGGCTGATTTCGGAGAATACTAAGACTGATTATGGCGGCATTAACCTCTCGACGTATCGTCACGACCCTTAACCCTACAGATTCACCTAACCATCTAGTTTTATCAGCTCCAATTTTAAACCATCACTCCAGTAATTCAATAAACCCATTTCAGTCAACATCAGACGTATCAGTGGATGAACCGAGGCTCTCCGGCTGGTAATTGATATATTAAATCTCTCTGATATAGTTTTGTTTATTTCCCCCTTCGATATTCACAAATAATTCGCAGGTTCGAGTCGGTCCTCGTCCGCGGCAGATGCGTAATGAATACCAGAGTTGATGAATGTGTTGAAGCCTCCGTTTCCTTCCCCTCATGATGAGGTATGTTTTAGCAGTGAGTTACTGAGCAGTCTCATGCAACGCCTCAGGGAACCCTCAACCACACACACCACAAATTAATCGCTTTCCATCAGTCTAATCGTCTTGCAAGATTGCGAGGAGGAGGAAATTGTTGGTATGGCCGGGAATGTTGTTGCTAGTACTGCGAGATGGTGATTAAGATCGAGACATCTGCCAATTGCATGCGAAATAAGTATAAGTAAGGAGTACCTCTGGCAGAGGTCCACTTAGAGTGCATGAGAGCCAGAGAAGAGCCTAAAGAAGGCTACTTCAAGGTGTCTTGAAGTAGCCTTTGCTGTAGAAGGCTAAAGTCTTGGTGTCTGAGAGCTCGAACAGCTGCTACAGTGAGCTAGAGTTTACAACCATTACAACGTGTTCTGCCGCTGCTAATTATATAGGCACAATAACTTATGATCAATATATCGCTCAATCAACTTACTTTGTCGAGTAATGTATTATTACTGTATCGCTGGGAACCTAGGTTGTGCCTCTTAGTATGTGCTATTGTCACTGTTGCATTGTGTCTATGTTGCTACTGTCATTTAAAATGTGTTATTTTAGACAAATTAAAGCTCTGTAATACTAACGTTTTCAATACATCGGATCGATTGGTTAGGTAGGTTGCTTGGGTTCGTACGTTTCAAGTTAGTCAAAACCGTTGCTTTTGGTACGGAGTTGCGTACCAAGATAGTTATAGATTAATGTGTGGTGTTTTTTGTTTTTTAATCTCGATGTGTTTTACTAAATCTTTCACTCTACTTTCTCTCTCCAGATCTCTCTCTCTCTCTCTCTCTCTCTCTCTCTCTCTCTCTCTCTCTCTCTCTCTCTCTCTCTCTCTCTCTCTCTCTCTCTCACTCTCTCTCTCTCTCTCTCTCTCTCTCTCTCTCTCTCTCTCTCTCTCTCTCTCTCTCTCTCTCTCTCTCTCTCTCTCTCTCTCTCTCTCTCTCTCTCTCTCTCTCTCTCTCTCTCTCTATTTTGCGTTCAGACTTTGAACAGTTGAACGCCAGGGAGTGAACGCTTTTCTAAAAGTGTTCTCTGCGCGTTCTCTACAGCTGGCCAGCCATATATGGGAGTGTGAATATACAGTAATGTTCCTGCCTTGATGGAACAAGTGCCTCAACATTGGTCATCATTGGTTTAGTATCTCTGAAGAATCTAATTTTTGGCTATCATCGTATATCTTGCGTGTAAAATTGGATAGCCACTCTGGCTTTAAATGTAGGTTTCTTTGACATTACTTACTCCAAGGGGCTTGTCCAATTCTGCCCTGCTGAATATTATCACAGGAAGGCCCTCTCTATGCTATAGTGGATAGCATATTGCTTCGCGAATGAGAGACCCTGAGTTCGACCCCCCCTGGACTCCTCTACTTCTCGGTGCCTTCCAGCAACTATTGAGGACCTAACTGTATAACCACCACTGGCGAATAGTGTCTTGGCAAAGCGTGGCGCTCTATAACCTAACCGGTTTCAGCACTTAGCCCCCCCCCCCAAGCCTGAATTCCAACATAATATTAGTAATCATTATAATGAATGCTAATATTTGATACTACGGGCTCACCATAGCCCGTGCTACTTGGAACTTTTTGTCCCAGGTAGCGAATCTTAAACAACAAAATGATATTTGATTTGTTTTTATATATTCTCTTTGAGTTTCTATCTTTATTCCAAAGTGAAAGATATGAACTTGTTCTGTATTGTAACATTGATGACTGTGTACTCTAGAACGTTTCCTTGGCATGAACGTAAACCTTGGCTGTGCCCTCAACTGATGACGTTCTTGTATAGATTCTAGTGTCATTCGCTAAGGGGGGGGGAGGGGAGGGGGGTGACGGTGTACTAGGAAATATATCTTGTGTCTAGATCACATACGAGTGTCAACAAAACGCTAGAAATGTGATCATGCTCAGCAGCTGGTGTTTATCGCATGATTTCATTCGTATCAGTACATAATGACAGAGGAAAAATGTTTACATCTAACCTCGCCCATTAATGCGTCTATATATATATATATATATATATATATATATATATATATATATATATATATATATATATATATGTTTATATATATATTTATATATATATATATATATATATATATATATATATATATATATATATATATATATATATATATATATATATATATACTCCGTATCAAAAAAAGTCAGTGTTTTCCCAAAGTTTTATTTTCTGAATTTAAACTGATCCAACTTGTATCCATTGTTTTATAGTATGAGTTAAATATTTAACACCCTAATAATATCCATTGGTTCTTATCCTCTCATATATGTGCATGTAACACAGGAGTGAGTAAACATTAACGAGTAAGATTGAATGTAAGAGAAGGGTTATAAGTGAGAGAGAGAGAAGAGAGAGAGAGAGAGAGAGAGAGAGAGAGAGAGAGAGAGAGAGAGAGAGAGATTTATCCCCAGGGGGGGGCTATGTTACAATGTTTTTAATGTAAACATCATTCAGGTTCTCGCCTGGAACATCGAATTCCTGCCCTAAACATCTCCGAGCATTTTATTAAAAGTAATCAAAGTTTCATTTTAAGAAATGAGGAAATCCCGTTTTGCTTTCAAGAATATTTAAAATAAATAACTAGGGTTTTTTTTTCTTTTAAACTCGCACCAGTGCTTATTACCTATTACAGGTGTGGGGGTCGTGTCGCCCAACTACGGGCTCACCATAGCCCGTGCTACTTGGAACTTTTTGTTCCAGGTAGCGAATCTTAAACAACAACAACAACGTGTCACTCTACAAGTCCAGAGTGGATATTATGCGATGGGGCAACTTTCACTCTAACTGAAACACTGCAATACTAGAGCACTGACGGCGGGTCAGTATGAAGAGTGACAACACGCTGTGTGAAGAGTGTCACTCTAGTGTCCCTCGGGCTCTATGGGCTCTTAACTCTCACTGAGAGAGTGACGTGGGCCGGGCTTAATTGTCTACCTCTCCTGCGCTAACTACTCGACCACCCCATTCAGGCTTGGGAGAGACTATATGGGCCAAAAACGTCTATAACGAGACGATGCTCATATGTAATATATATATATATATATATATTTATATATATATATATATATATATATATATATATATATATATATATATATATATTATATATATATATATATAATATATATATATATATCACCCCCCCCCTCCCAATATTCACCACATTCCATGAACAAAAATGACTATTTAAAAGACTCTAATAAGCTCATTTAATGGGCGTGAATTTCAGGCTCAACCAGTCGAAGGCTAATGACCACTCCTCCCCCCCCTCCCACCACCATGCAGTCATCACTCAGGGGGGGGGGAAGGAGGAGCAGGGAGGGGACGGAACGGTTGGGCTTCAGCAAGGTTCTCCATCACCAGAATTAGATACTTACTGGTAGTAATGGCCATCTCAAATATAAGTGGCCAGAGGGTGGCCAAAATGCTTCTGTTACTCATTTGTTCTTCGGCCTGAGTAATACGAGCTTCTTCGTATATATATATATATATATATATATATATATATATATATATATATATATATATATATATTTATATATATATATATAAATTTAGCTCCTGGCTATGAAGGGGGGAAAAAAAACTCCGAACCTGTCCCAATATTTTGTCCTGAGGAATTGAACTCTACAAACCGGTGCTTAGTTGTTTAAATACCTACGTCATGTTACTCTCGATGCCATTGGCGCGCTCGTTAGCTATAATGATCGTTTATCATTTACAGGGAAATTAATAAGAGTGAAGTGTCTTATTGGTCCATTAACCTTAAATTGGGCAGTTGTTAGCAAGCAGGGTGAGACCCTCTGGCAGGACTACCCCGCTGGGTGACATCTTTCTCCTTCTC